GTCCTTCAATTGGAGAAAACTCCCCACGCGCCCCGCGGGCGCGGTGAAAAGGAGGTGCGACAACAGGCTCGAAGCATATCCTCCAAAATCTGAATAGTCCGCTCGGACTGTCCGTCCGTCTGAGGCTGAAATATTGTACTCAACTCAACCTGTGTGCCAACTCTCGCTGAACTACTCTCTAGAAACGCAAGGTAAACTGCGTACCTCGGTCTGAAATGATAGACACAGGCACAGCATGAAGACGAACAATCTCCCAGATATAGATCTCAACTAACCTCTCGGATGAATAGGAGACTGCCACAGGAATGAAATGCGCTGACTTGGTCAGCCAATCAACAATGACCCATACTGCGTCAAACTTCCTCCGAGGCTGTGGGAGTCCAACAACAAAGTCCATAGTAATCTGCTCTCACTTCCACTCGGGAAGCTCAATCCTCTGAAATAAACCACCAGGCTTCTGATGCTCGTACTTAACTTGCTGACAATTCAAACACCGAGCCACATAGGCAACAATATCCTTCTTCATTCTATACCACCAATAATGCTGCCGTAAATCCTGATACATCTTCGCGGCGCCCGGATGAATAGAGTACCGGGAGCTGTGGGCCTCCTCTAAAATAACCTCCTGAAGCTCATCCACATTTGGCACACACACTCGACCCTGCAATCTCAAAACTCAATCCTCATCTAAGGTAACCTGCTTGGCACATCTGCACTGCACCGTGTCTCTAAGGACACACAAATGGGGATCATCATACTATCGATCACGGATACACTCCAATAAAGAGGAACGAGCGACCATGCAAGCTAATACCCGACTAGGCTCAGAAACATCCAACCTCACGAACCGATTGGCCAAGGCCTGAACATCCAAAGCAAGCAGCCTCTCACCGACCAGAATATAAGCAAGACTGCCCATATTGGCTGATTTCCTACTCAAGGCATCGGCCACCACATTGGCCTTTCCCGGGTGATATAAGATGGTGATATCATAATCCTTCAACAACTCCAACTAGCTCCTCTACCTCAAATCCAACTCCTTTTGCTTGAACAAATACTGAAAACTCTTATGATCCGTGAACACCTCACATGCCACGCCATACAGATAATGCCTCCAAATCTTCAATGCATGAACAATGGGTGCCAACTCCAAATCATAAACCAGATAGTTCTTCTCATGAATCTTTAACTGTCGCGAAGCATAGTTAATGACCCTGCTCTCCTGCATCAACACTGCCCCAATTCCAATACGTGATGCATCACAATAAACTGTTTAAGGTCTTGAACCTGCGGGCAAAACCAACACCGGTGCCGTAGTCAGAGCTGTCTTGAGCTTCTGAAAGCTCGCCTCAAACTCGTCCGACCATATGAACTGGCACCCTTCTGGGTCAACCTGGTCATCAAGGCTGCAATGGATGAAAACCCCTCCATGAACCGACGATAGTAGCCTGCCAATCCCAAGAAACACCAAATCTCTGTAGCTGATGCTGGTCTAGGCTAGTTCTTGACTGCCTCAATCTTCTTCGGATCAACCTGAATACCCTCTGCTGACACAACATGACCCAGGAATGCAACTGAACACAGCCAAAACTCACACTTCGAGAACTTAGCATATAGCTGACTATCCCTCAGAGCCTGAAGAACCACTCTGAGATGTTGCCCGTGCCCCTCCCGGCTGCGAGAATATATCAAAATATCATCAATGAAGACTATCACGAACGAATCCAAATAAGGCTTGAACACTCGGTTCATCAAATCTATAAAAGCTGCCGGGGCATTTGTCAACCGATTGACATAACCAAGAACTTATAATGCTCGTACCGAGTGCGAAAAGCTGTTTTAGGGACATCGGATGCCCTAATCCTCAACTGATTGTAGCCAGATCTCAAGTAAATCTTTGAAAATACCTTGGCACCCTGAAGCTGATCAAACAAATCATCAATCCTCGGCAATGCATACTTATTCTTGATCGTAACCTTGTTCAACTGTTAGTAATCAATACACATTCTCATCGACCCATCCTTCTTCTTAACAAACAACACCGGAGCTCCCCAAGGCGAAACACTGGGTCTAATGAAACCCTTCTCAAACAAGTCTTGCAAATGTTCCTTCAACTCTTTCAACTCAGGCGGGGCCATACGATACGGCGGGATAGAAATGGGCTGAGTGCCCAGAGCCAAATCAATGTAGAAATCAATATCCCTGTCGGGTGGCATACCCAGCAGGTCTGAAAGGAATACCTCAGGGAACTCATGAACGACAGGCATAGAATCAATAGATGAAACCTCAGCACTGGAATCGCGAACATATGCCAAATAGGCCAAACACCCCTTCTCGACCATACGTCGAGCCTTCACATACGAGATAACACTGCGGGTAGAATGACCAGGAGTCCCTCTCCACTCTAAACGAGGCATACCTGGTAAAGTAAGGTCACAGTCTTGGCATGACAGTCCAAGATAGCGTGGTAAGGTGCTAACCAGTCCATTCCCAATATAATATCGAAATCGACCATATCTAAAAGCAACAAATCTACCCGAGTCTCAAGACCCCTAATCACCACAACACAAGAACGATAGACTCGATCGACCACAATAGAATCACCTACCGGTGTAGACACATAAACAGGAACACTCAATAAATCTCTAGGCGTGATCAAATACGGTGCAAAATAAGATGACACATACGAGTATGTAGACCCTAGATCAAACAACACTGAAGCATCTCTATCACAAACCAGAACCATACCTGTAATAACTACATCTGAAGCCTCAGCCTCAAGCCTGGCTGGGAGAGCATAACATCGGGGCTGGGCCCTGCCACCATGAACTACATATCTAGGATGGCCTGCAACTGGCTGGCCTCCACCTTTAGCACCTCTACCTCTACCTCTAACACCTCTACCCCGACCTCTAGCTGGCTGGGCGGGCTGGGGGACACCTGGTGCCGGAACCATAACACGGGAACCTTGATGCGGAGAACTGCTCGAAGCTCGAGGGCAATACCTAACAATGTGCCTCGTGTCGCCACAAGTAAAATAAGCTCTCGGCTACTGGGGCTGACGACCCTGGAAACTCTGAAGTGGTGGTGCACTGATTGGTGTTGGTGGTGCACTGATTGGTGCTGGTGGTGCACCGTAGGACTGCTGATCAGAATACTACATCTGAGGACCACGGCTACCTGAAGCACCGTGAGAAACCTGAAGTGCTGACTGGAAAGGCCTAGGGGGATGGCATCTACCATATGAATCTCTACCTCCAGACGAGGTACCACTGAATCTACCTGAATGACGGGGCATCTTATCCGACCCATGACTACCTCCCTGTGACAGAACCATCTCCACTCTCCTAGCCACATTGGCAGCCTCCTGGAAAGATATCTCACTCCCAGCATCCATAGCCATCTGAAGATGAATCGGCTGAATAAGACCATCAATAAACCTCCTCACCCCCTCTCTCTCTCTCTCGGTAGGAAGTATGACAAGAGCATGGCGAGCTAAGTTGATGAACCTGGTCTCATACTGGGTAACAATCATGGAACCCTGTTATAGGCGCTCAAACTGCCTCTGATAGGCCTCTCTCTGAGTAATGGGGAGAAACTTCTCCAAAAATAGCTGTGTGAATTGCTCCCAAGTCAAGGCTGGCGATCCGTCTGGTCTAGCTAAGCAATAATCCCTCCACCAAGTCTTGGCGGATCTAGACAAGCGAAACGTAGCAAAATCGACCACATTGGTCTCAACAATACCCATGTTCCTGAGAACCTCATGGCAGCCGTCTAGGAAATCCTGGGGATCCTCAGCACATGCACCGCTAAAAGTAGAAGTGAAGAGCTTGGTGAACCTATCTAGCCTCCACAAAGCATCGGCAGACATAGCCGCTCCATCGCTGGTCTGAGCAACCACACCCCGGCTGAACTGCTCCAACTGGCTGAACCGCTGGAGTCTGAATCTGGGGAGCTACCTGCTCTGGAGTGCGAGTAGCAGGAGTTTGGGCCCCTCCTCCAGCCTGAGAGACGGCTGGTGCTACAGGAAGCAAGACTGCCCATGTGACACTCTCTATGAGGCCCACTAATCGGACCAGAGCATCCTGAAGAACTGGGGTAGTAATAAACCCCTCTAGGACCTGAGCTGGCCTACCAGAACTGCTGGGGCCGGAACCTCCTCATCAAAATCAACCTGATACTCCGTCACTGGTGTTGCTGCCCGGGCTGAGCTCTGCCCCTACCTCGACCTCTAGCACGGCCTCGGCCTTGCCCTCTACCCCTCATGGAAGCTGCTACTGGGGGCTCGGGCTGCTGAGCGGTGGATAAGGAAGCGCGTGTTCTCGCCATCTACGAAAGAACAGAGTAGAAATTCAATTAGCATTGAGAAACAAACCGCACGAGAAGAAGGAACGAATGTAAAGTTTTTCCTAACCCTATCGCCTCTGAGGGATAAATACAGACGTCTCTATACCGATCCCTCCAACTCTACTGAGCTTGTCCGTGAATTGTGAGACCTATGTAACCTAGAGCTCTGATACCAACTTGTCACGACCCGGATTTCCCACCCTCGGGAGTCGTGATGGCGCCTACTCGTAGAAGCTAGGCAAGCCACGAAATTTAGGAAATTCTTTACTTTTTTGTTTTAATCCTTTTAACAACTTGCTTTAACATGTGATAAACATTTAAACAATAGCGGAATATGAGATTAAGCGGAAGACTTAAACAAAATAAACCAAAATAATTCGGAAATCAACATATGCCACTACCTAGAAACTGGTGTCAAACCTTTCACGGACTATCTATGATTACTACATACAAACGTTTGAAAGAAGGAACACTGTCTGTCTCAGATACAATGATAACAGAACAAAATAACTAATAGAAGAGACGCCGGGCCTGCGAACGCCTGCAGGACTACCTCGGAATCTCGGTGGACTGAAGGCTGGCTCCCAAGATACTGCTGCTGACCCAGTGCTACTCCGGTATCTGCATATAAGTACAGAGTATAGCATCAGCACAACCGGCCCCATGTGCTGGTAAGTGCTGGGCCTAACCCCAGCGAGGTAGTGACAAGGCTAGGACCAGACTCCATATAAACCTGTGTAATTATATATATATATATATATACAGCGGAAAATAAATACAAAAATAAACAAATAAAGATAGGAGGGGGAAACATGCTTCGGGGAATAACAGGTAAAACAGAATATCAAGAGAATTATAAAGGAATCAAAATCAACCACTAACAAGAATGAGGAAAAACAAAGACAGATTTCACTTTCTTTTCACATCTTGTTCCAAGCGTGCAACCCGATTCCGATTCCTGTTTCTCGTGGCAGGCATGCCACCCGCTCCCATTTCATTGTATCTCGTGGTAGGCGTACCACCCGCTCCCATTTCATCATATCTTGTAGTAGGCTTACCACCTGCTCCCAATTAAAAGCCAATGATAATCACAAGGAATCCCGGCAAGGGAACAAAAGCAATATAACAACTTTCCGGCAAGGGAACAATGATATTTCAACAACATCCCGGTAAAAAAACAATACTATCAAAACAAACATCCTGGCAAGTGATCATTAATATCAAACAAACATCCCGGCAATGTAACAATGGTGATAATAACATATGAAGCGCAATAAATCATAACAGAGTCATAACAACTATAATACAAGACTCACGGGCATGTTTGACACCAACGTATAGATACTTGTCACCATGCCTATACGTCGTACTCCACAATTAACATGTAGCAAATAAGACACAAGTCCTAATCCCTCAAGCTAAGGTTAGACCAAACACTTACCTCGATGCCTCGAACACAACTCAAGTTTCAATTATAGCTTTATTCCTTGATTCTTCCACCAATTCGCTCGTATCTAGCCATAAGTTACTTAATTACATCAATAAACGCTAAATGAATCAATTTGAATGCATGAAAATGAGTTTTCCAAAGTTTTACCCAAAAAGTCAAAATCGCCCCCGGGCCCACATGGTCAAAACCCGAGGTTCAAACCAAAACCCAATTACCCATTCCCCTACGAGCTCAAATATGTAATTTGTTTTGAAATCGGACCTCAAATCGAGGTCCAAATCCCTAATTTTTGAAAAACCTAGGTTCTACCTAAAACACTCAATTTACCCCATGAAAATCATTGATTTGAAGTTTAAATCATGTTAAAAGATGTTAATGATTGAAGAAAACTAGTTAAAAATGACTTACAATTGATTTTGAGAAGAAAAGTTGTTTGAAAAATCGTCTCTTATGTTTTTTGGGATTTGAAAAATGCACAATGACTGAAAATCCCGTCTATTTATACCCCTCTCAGACCCTCTGTGCGGTCCGCACAAAATGGACTGCGGCCGCACAGGCTTTCCTGAGGGTATTGCGGTCCAGTGCCCTGTGCGGACAGCACAAAGTCGACTGCGGTCGCACAGCAGCGCCCCTGTACGGACCACACAAAGTCGATTGTGGTCACACAGCCCTACACCGCGCACCGCACAAGGCCGACCGCGGGCTGCATTGGCGGGTTCAGAGGCCTACAACTTCTGGTTTTAAGCCTAAAACATCCCGGAACCTACCCAAAACTCACCCGAGCCCTCGGAACTCCAAACCAAGTACACACAAAACCTCAAAAACATCCTACGGACTTATTCGTGTAATCAAATCACCAAAATAACATCATGAACATCAAATTAAACCTCGAGATCAATGAAATTTCTTAAAATTTATTTAAACATCAATTTTGCAATTTAAGTCCTAAACACGTCAAATGACATCCGTTTTTCACCAAATTCCACAGAAATATCTTAAATCATATATAAGACCTGTACCAGGCGCCGGAACTAAAATACGGGCCACATACCATCATGTTCTAAGCAAATTTCATTTCAAATTTCTTTAAACAATTTTAGAAAATAATTTTCTTTAAAAAAATTTATTTCTCGGGCTTGGGACCTCAGAATCTGATTCCGGGCATATGCCCAAGTCCCATATTTTCCTACGGACCCTCCGAGACCGTCAAATCACGGGTCTGAATCCGTTTACCCAAAACGTTGACCGAAGTAAAATTTATTCATTTTATAGTCAAAACTTATCATTTTTCATAGATTTGCACATTTAAGCTTTCCGGCTTCGCGCCCGGACTGCGCACGCAAATTGAGGTGGTATTAAGGGAGGTTTTTAAGGTCTCAGAACATAGAATTTCATTGCAACACAAGTGATGACCTTTTGGGTTATCACAGTCTAACTACATTACCCGTGGGTGGCTTTAACACGATTCTTAGTCCAGACCCTTTTGCATTCGAGGCACCATCCGTAAAGAGGGTCTAGATCCTAGAGGAAGTCCCCGAGTTCAACAACAATTTCCTTTTGACTTTGGGCATCAGGGCCCGCATGAAGTCTACCAAAATTTGGGATTTGATGGCGGTTCGGGGTCGATATTCGATATCGTACTCGTTAATTTCCACGGCCTATTTGGCCAATTGTCTCGAGAGCTCGGGTTTATGAATTATGTTTATTAATGGGTAAGTAGTTATGACACATATAGGATGGTATTGAAATATGGTTTTAACTTCCGGGAGGCGCTTAGCAAAGCGAGCGCCAATTTTTCCAGGTGAGGATACTTAGTTTCGGCCTCACCTAGAGTCCTGCTAACATAATAGATAGGAAATTACGTACTTTCCTCTTCTGGGACTAGGACTCCACTTACCACTATCTCTGATACCGCTAAGTACAGGTACAGTTGCTCTTCTGCCATCGGAGTATGGAGCAAAGGCGGGCTCGAAAGGTACCGCTTGAGTTTTTCCAAAGCTTATTGGCACTTGGAGGTCCACAAGAAGTTATTCTTCTTTTTTAATAATGAGAAGACCCTATGGTTCTTATAAGAGGACCTTGAAGTTATGCTCGTAGGGTCTTTACTAACATGCCGTCAATGTAAACCTCCATTGATTTTCCTATTTGTTCTTCGAAAATCCGATTTTACTAGGCGTTGGTAAGTGGCACATGCGTTCTTTAATCCGAATGGCATTACATTATAACAATAGGTGTCGTATTTAGTGATGAAGGAAGTTTTTTCCTGACAGCCCGGGTCCATTCAGATTTGGTTGTACCCCGAATAGGCATCGAGAAAGCTGAGGATCTCGTGGTCGGTTGTCGCATCGATCATGCTATCGATGTAGGGCAGAGGAAAAGAGTCCTTGAGCTTTATTCAGGTCTTTACTGTCTACACAAATTCTTAGTTTATTTCCCTTTTTAGGGAATACTACTACGTTTGTTAACCAATCCGGGTACTTAACTTCCCGAATGGAACCTATTTTAAGAAGTTTGGATACCTCATCTTTGATGAATGCATGCTTGGCTTCGGATCGAGGCCTCCTCTTTTGTTTAACTGGGTAAAACTTCGGATCCAAGCTTAGCATGTGAGTAGTTAATTCCGGCAGGATCCCTGTCATGTCAAGATGGGACCAAGTGAAACAATCTACGTTATCTATAAGGAATTCAATGAGTTTTTTCCTGAGCTCGGGACTTAACCCCGTGCTCAGGTATACCTTGTAAACGGGCAGATGCTTAATCAATATGACTTGCTCCAGCTCCTCGACCATTGACTTGGTGGCATTGGAATCGTCAGGGGCTATGAAAGACCCGGGAACTCTGTAGTCATCATCCTCGCGCGTCCCCTACTTTTCTGGTTTGGTCGGGGTCGGTGTCGGTGATTGCTATTTGGTTTCTTCCTTGGTGATCGAATTCAGATTATTTGATGTCGAGGGTGTGGATATCGGGACCACCTCGTCGACCACGAATATCTCTTTTACGGCCGGTTGCTCTCCGTAGACTGTTTTAATTCCTCCTAGTGTGGGGAATTTCAACGCCTGGTTAGTGTCGAGGGTACTGCCCTCATGTTTTGAATAAATGGTCTCCCTAACAGAGCATTGTATCTCATATCTCCTTCGATCAAATAGAACTTTGTTTTCTAAACGGTTCCGGCGGTGTTCATCGGTAGGGTTATCTCCCCTTTAGTAGTCTCACATGCCATGTTAAATCCATTTAGAACTCGGACTGCAAGCGCAATTTTGTCTTGTAGACCAAGTTGTTCTACGACCCTCAAGCTGATGATATTGACCAAACTACCTGGATCAATTAACACATGCTTAACTCGAGATTTATTTATGAGTATAGATATTACCAGTGCATCATTATGTGGCTGCACGATGCCTTCAGCACCATCGTCGTTGAAAGATACGGTTCCTTCTAGCACATAATCTCGAGTCTGTTTTTCCCTTGTGATGGACACTTTGGTTCGCTTTAAAATCCACCTCTGGGGATGTTAACCCCACCAATGATCATGTTAATAACGTGTATCTGCTTGTTGGAGTCCCTATTCCTGAAATGATTTTTGGCCCGACCACTCAAAAACTCTCGGAGGTGTATGTTGTTGAATAATCGGGCTACTTCCTCTCTCAGTTGTCGGCAGTCTTCAGTTATGTGGTCGTGAGTGCTATGGTACTTACACATTAGGTTGGGGTCGCTTTTAACGGGGTCGGATTGTAAAGGTTGAGGCCACTTGGTGTCTTTGATGCGTCCAATAGCTGATACAATGGCAGCAACATCGACGTTGAATTTGTACTCCGATAACCTTGGCGCTTCCTTAGGCTTGATGGGTCTATCAAAACCGCTTTTTCTCATGAGTCCCCAGTTATTATGACCCTGGTCGCTTCTTCTTTCACTTCTCACAAGTTTCGTCCAAACCCATTACCCCTTCAATCTCCATTGTATGGTTGATATCGGTCTTTATTCGATCTTGGTTCATGATCAATGTCTCTTTTGGATTTATCACTAGCCCTGATAGGATAAACGGGCTCGGAAGGGGCCCCGAGCTGATCATCTTCGAACCTAATTTTCGATTGGTATCAGTTATGGATGTTGACCCAAGTTATCGTCGGGTATTCTATCAGCTTTTGCTTCAGCTACTGTGAAGCCAATGAGCTTCGAGTATTGAGTCCTTGGGTGAAGGCTTGAACAGCCCAGTCGTCTGCGACTGGCGGCAGATCCATCCATTCCATTTGAAACCTCGATACGAATTCCCTAAGCATCTCGTTATCTCTTTGCTTTACCTTGAAAATGTCCAATTTCCTAGTCTCGACTTTGATGGCCCTGGCGTGCGCTTTTACAGAGGCATTGCATAGCAAATAAGCCAATAAAATTAAGGGGTAAGTTATGATAGCATATCATGGCTCCTTTCGATAGGGTCTCTCAGAACTTTTTCAGCAGAACGAATTCGATTTCATCATCTTCCAAGTCGTTTTCCTTGATGGCGCACGTGTAAGAGGTTACATGATTATTTGGATCGGTTGTTCCGTTGTACTTCAGAATTTTGGGCATGTGGAACTTCTTTGGGATTACTTTTGAGGCTGCGGTCGGAGGGAAAGGCTTCTAAACAAATTTCTTGGAATCCAGGACCTTCAGAATCGGTAGCGCTCCTGGGATTTGATCAACCCTGGAGTTGTAGGTTTTTACTTTTTTGTTAGTTCCTCAGAGCATGTAGCTGGGCTATCACTGCCTGTTGAGCATGTAACATTTCGAAGATCACCCGCAAGTTGATCCCATCGCGCTTACTGTCGTGTGTATCCCTGGTTATCGACCTGGCTTCCCCGCGAACATTGATCTCTAGATTGGTGGTCAAGTTAGTGTCGATGGCCATGTGGGAGCTGGCGTCGATTGAGTCTGTGACTGGGGGCCCATTGGGGTCAGCAGGGTGAACCTCGTTGCTGGGCGCTATATTGTTGTTCTCTCCGTGGTGGCCAGACTCGGCATCAATGTTCAAAGGGGCAGATTGGGAGTTTGATATTTTTCTTGTCCTAAAATTAAAAGCTCAAAGAACAAGTGTAAAATAGAGTATGTTATGAAAACTTGTATCAAATTGCAACTATTATCCTTAGCCCCACGGTGGGCGCCAAACTGTTTATCCTAAAAAACGGATAACAGTTGAATTTATATGTGGTTTTAAGAATATGCAGATTAATTCAATACAAATGATAGACTGCATTAGATTAAACAGATAAAGGACGTAATGAATTGCCAAACCGCTTAAGAGGGGTGATTCCGGACTCAATAACAACATTAATGAGATGCCTGCCTTCGATCCCGGACTCACAATAACAAAGCACTGATGAACAAAAGTGAGTGCTTTTAATAAGAGAGAAAATAAGAGTATATTGCCTTGATATGCGTGTTACAATATGTCTAATGAATAATCAGACTCCCTTTTATATAGTAGGGGAATTTTACCCTAAATATAATTTCATAAAAGGTAAAAATATTCTGTTTAACTAATCACCTGTTTTCTGCCGATACGTGCCGAGATTCACGTCGTGGTATCCGGCTGGTCGCGGATATCACGACCTTTTGTTGGTCGTGCTCGATCGTCTAATAATGCTCCCCGAGGCATTTGGGGTTTGAACCAGACCTGGGGACCATGACCCCGATACTCCCGAGGGCAGGTATTTTACCCGGACCCCGGGTTGAGGGGCTCCTTGCCTCGATTCTGGTTCCTTGCCTTCACGTTTCTTGCTCCGTTTATTGGTTCAACATATTATAGATCGGGAGAACGACCAAAATTAGGGGGGGGGGGTAATCTGGATTCTATCCCGACCATTAAAATTTTAATGAGACACGTGTGGCGAAATTTACCAACCACACAAATTATTCACCAAATAAAACTAAAGCCGAAGATTTCATTGACGGATGGGGAGAAGTTTTACTAAGGAAGGTGTGGTCCTTGTGGATATTATGTTCTGATATTTTGTAATATAGTATTTTATTTAAGGAAAAAAAGAAAAACAAGAAGAAGAAAAAGAGTGGAGGGCAAAAACTCGAAAGCAGATATTTATATACAAAAAATATTACGCGGAAAAAAGGGTTTGCCTTAGACCAAATCTTAGGCTCGTGATTCTCGTGGTAAGGCCGTGGCAATTTTTTTGATATCATTTGCTTTAATTTAAAAAAAAAAAATTGACACATAAATTTAATAAATTATATGATGGTATTGATTGGACATGAAATTTGGGTAATAAAACAAATTGATTATAAACGTATGAGAAATTTAAAATTAACTTATTTTTAAATATAAAGAGATGTCCTTTTTCAATTAGACTAATTATACAAAAATAGTATCACGTAAAATATATAGAGGTAGTACCTCATTACTGGTAAAAATGAAATTTCAAATATTACGAGCTTTTTAAAATTGAAAAAATTAATTTTCCAACCAACAAAAATATAGTGCCAAACAAATTGAGATATCGAGATTTATGAATAAGACACAAAGGAATATTATTTTTTTTAAATTGGAAAAACTATGTAATTTCTTAATCATTTGGAGTAAAAGGTCAGCCGAAAAGTACTAATCCAGGAATTAAAGCATCCCACGTGCTTCGCGTTATGCTTCCTACCTTCAGACGTCAAATGTCAACCACCCATGTTTCCCTCTTTTGTATGGGCAACCTTTTCTTGTTGCAGCAATCATTGTTGTTGTATTTATTATAAGGAAGATGACGCTATATAGTCACTTTAAAAATAATAGTGGAAAAAGTATATATTTTTATGTGTGTATATATATATATATATATATATATATATATACTGTATGTTATATACAAAATTATATAATTTTTATATATTTTTTCGACTATTGAATATAAATAGTTTTTGACATGGGCCAAAAGTAATAATATCCCTTTATTACATAGCGGAGGAGCTAAAGTTAATAAGTACAGGTTCATCTGAATTTAATATTTTTACTTTAGAAAATTTATTAAATATATATATAAATATTTAATTACGAATTCAGTAATTAAAAATGAGCTATGAATTTAGTCGCAAGTTCAGAATCCGATAAACTTCAAATCCCCGATCCGCCTCAACAAAATTCTTAAGGACAAAAGTTTAACTATCTAAGCCTATCGGCTAGCTTTGCCTTCGGTATACATCTGGAAACAACTTCTTAGGTTACCAATCTAGTGTATAGCCTAGATGGAGGCAGATTCAGAATTTATATTTAATGCGTTTATCTTTTAAGATTTTTAGTATTGAATTTATTATACTGTTAAAGTTATGGGTTCGAATGTAATGCTTATCTAGATTTTAGTAGGTTTTTACATATAAATTCATATTTTATATCAAAAGTTATGGGTTCAGCTGAACCCATAGCCGAAAACCTACATTCGCCCCCCGAGCCAAGAGACACTAGAGACAAATTAAAGAAAGAATCCCAGATTATGCTCGAATGTTGATAGAAATGGATATTACTCCGCTCTTACCAGATGCATTGAATATAGAGCATCATGATGGCAGCATAAGGGAACAACTAGTGGACTACTAATGGAAGCTCAGATTATGCCAGGAATGTAGTCAATTTGGTCATTCCAATAGTGAATGTAAATTGGAACAGCAAATACAGAAGGAAGAGGAGGAGGGGGAGGAGAAGGAGAAGAAGGAGGAGGAGGAGGAGGAGGAGGCTAAGAAGTAGAAATGGGAGTGGAGAATTAAAGCTGTCACAACAGAGGAGATAGAACCCCCTAATCCTGGCAAAGTAACTAATGACAAGGAGGTTCCACAGGAAGCTCTACAGGAGGTTCAAATACAGGTTGGGAAAAAAGGCAAGCAAGCAATGGTATATCATGACAAATCAAGTAAAGAAGACCAACGAAGAATTGATTATGAGGAGTTGACCAAGAGAAATAAGTTTGTCACGTTAAAGATTCAGGAGAGTGAGCCTCCTGACATCAATGGAGGTACTGAGCATAGTCAATCTCAGAGGATTAACAAAGGGCATACTCCAACGACTATACCACCCTCATGATATTCAGAACATGGAACATAAGAGGACTAAACAAGTCCTTTAAGCAGAGGGAGTTTAAAACATTCTTAACAACAAATAGAATTGATATGGTAGGGTGTTTGGAAACTAGAGTTAAACAGAACAAAGCAATAATTAACCAAAAGAAGATAGGTAGAGAATGAAAATTTACTACAAACTATTTTGAAGCACCTAATGGTAGGATCTGGTTGGGCTAGAAGACAGTAAATGTGAGTCTAGCGGTATTAGAGTCCTCTTCACAACTGATTCATTGCCATGTACAAGATAGAAACTCTGCATTCCAGAGCTATATAACTATTGTGTATCGGATGCATATAATAGCGGATAGAAGACCTTTGTGGATTAATTGAGGAATATCAATGCAACAACTAGAGGTCCTTAGTTGATCATAGGAGACTTTTGGTAGTGTCTTACTAGTGGAGGACAGAATAAATGGGGCATTTGTGCACCAGCTTGAAGTAGTTGATTTCAAGCAATGCATTAGTGACATTGGTGTAGGGCTAATAGCCAAGAACGGAGCTCAATTTTCTTGGAGTAATAAGAGGGGAGTTGAAGATAGAATATACAGTCGTATAGACTGGGTGTTTGATAATGCTGAATGGTTTTGGTCTTATACAGGTGTGGAAGCCATCTATCTCCTGCCCGAATGGTTTGACCACACACCTATTCTACTAAAAATTAAAATACATAGGGTGCTTGTCAAAAAGCGATACAGATTATTGAATGTCCTGTTATAACATGAGGAGTATAAGAAAGCAGTGGAACATATATGGGGTCAAGCCATACAAGGGCACACTATACACCATTTATAGGAAGATGAAATTGTTGGAGATACACACTAGGTGACTAGAAAGAAAATACTCATCAGTGGAGGTAAAGCTCAAACAATTCAGTAAGGACCTCCAGGCTACATAGTAGGCTCTGAATGATGATTACCTTAACTCCCAACTGATTGAGCAAGAGCAGAAGAATATGTTACTAATTTTGAACTGGGATTCTATCCATGAAAAGATCCTATGGCAGAAGTCAAGGGCTATATGGATTACTTACGGAGATTCCAATATTAAACACTTACATGCACAGCTGAAGACTAGACAAGTAAGGAATAGAGTCACCTTTATTTGTACAGAACATAAAGTGAGATTACCAGAACTGGTGTCGATTCAACAATAGTTTATGCAATTTTTCAAGAAATTGCTAGGAGAGGTTGTTCCAGTGCTACCTGGAATTGATATCAACATAGTTAGGTATGACCTTGCTTATCACTTGCACAACAATTGCTAGTGCCTATGACAAGAGAAGAGATTCTAAAGGAAGTGCAAGGCTTTTCACTAGACAAAGCACCAGGGATAGATGGTTATCCAGCTGCATTTTTTTAAAGAAAGCTAGCAAGTGGTGGGTGAAGATGTTGCAAAAGCAGTAATGCAATTTTTTAAAATAGGAAAACTGCTAAGGGAGATCAATTGTACCACTGTCACTCTCATCCTCAAGGTGGCGAATCCAAATTGTGTAAAAGAGTTCAGACTCATAGCTTGTTGCTCTAAAATATACAAAATTATAGCTAAGATACTTACTGCCAGGCTGAAAATGGTTGTTGAATACCTGGTGGGGCCTTCCTAGTCTGCATTCATAGAAGGGAGAAATATTTTGGACAATGTAATACTAGCTCATGAACTTATAAAAGGGTATACACAGAAAGTAGTATCACCAAGATGTATAATTAAGATGGACATTAGGAAGGCCTATGACTCTGTTGAATGGAGCTTCTTGAGAGATCTTATGTTGGAACTTGGGATTCCATATAAAATGGCTAATATCATTATGGAGTGTGTAAGTACAGTTACTTATGTTCTAGTGATTAATGAAGGCTTAACCCCTATGTTTCAGGCAAGAAAAGGTTTGAGGCAATGTGACCTTATGTCACCTTACCTCTTTGTATTGGTGATAGAATATCTTAACAGATCTTTGAAGCAACTCAAATCAAACCTAGACTTTAAATATCATCCTAAATGTTCAAAGCCGGGAGTGGTACATATTTGTTTTGCTGACGACTGGTTTTTGTGTTGTCGAGCAAACACAGTGTTTATTAATCTTATGATGAAACAATTTGAACATCTTTCTGCTGCCTCAGGATTGCAAGAAAACATGGAGAAAAACCTGTATGTAGCAGGTTTGTCGACTCAATGCAAGGATGCAATACTTGAGAAGTTGCATTTCACCATTGGAGCCCTACCCTTTAAATGTTTAGGAGTGTTATTGTCCTCCAAGAATCTCACTATCAGCTAGTGTATGCCATTGGTGGACAGAACTGCAGAGAGAGTGAGATGTTGGACAACCAGATTCTTATCCTATGCAGGGAGAGTCTAACTAATTAAAATTGTGTTGTTTGAAATGCAAACTTATTAGGCACAAGTATTTCTTCTCCCAAAAAAGGTGCACGATATGATCACAGGAATATGTAGGAACTTTCTTTGACATGGAGCTACTGAAGGCAAGAAAGCTCCTATTGCATGGGACACCATATGTAGGCCAAAGTCTGCAGGAGGGTTGAACATCATCAATTGTACTCTGTGGAATAGAGCAGCAATAGGCAAACTACTGTGGTCACTCGCATAAAAGAAAGACAAACTCTAGGTCAGGTGGATCCTCAATCACTATATAAAA